GGAAAATGTCACAATTTATCTACCAGTATATTATAAAAGGTTATGAATTTTAGGATTTGTTGACTCTTAAAACCTTAACTTTTAGATTTAAAACTTATAATTTCGATCATCTGCATTGATTGCTATTCAGTCACAACATATGAGCTTGAAATTTACCCAAAAAATGAAGAATGGTTTGGTCTAGACTAAAAGATGGGCAAGTCCATTTAAGATATAAGGTTAGAATATTTACTGCCAGTATAAAAATTTTAACTTACAACATGAATTAAGCATACAAATCTATAATTTTCATTTTAAAGCACTGTGCAACAAAATCGGTGTTTTGTGTTTTAATTGCAGAATTTCTTGGCATCATTTGTTAGAATAAGATTAAGTTGAATAATTAATGATATTTATGGTGATGTAACAGCGTTATAAAATCTTCCAATCATCTCATGTGATTCCAATTTAATTTCAATTCTAATCAAAACTTGTCATCTGTCGAAAACAATCATTTGAATTTGTGATGATTTTGTGCATCATGACAATTTTCTATGCATTTCCAGCAATATTTTGATTAAGGGGTTTAATGGCAATACGTTATTGTTGTTTTGTATAAAAGTCAAGTTTTGCTGAATACAATTGAGTTCTAGAAAAGTATATATTCTGGTTAAAATTAACAACTCTTTGGGAGTTTTCATGTTATAAAATAAAGACTTCCACATTTTAAAATTTGTATCTGCAATTGTAGACTTTCAGTGGATTTTTTCATGTGGGGGATTGTAACTATCCAGCTAGTTTACAGAATAGCGATGCCACATGGTGGCTCTAGTCAGGTGCCAAGTTATGCTTGAAATAATACACGGATAAATAAAAAAAGAAGGCAAAGAGCTTTAAGAATGGAGGGTGCAGCACTAGTGATCTAGCAGTCCTGCATAAAATGATCACAGTTCTTTAGTTTACCTTATAATGATAGACCTATTAAATATAAAAGACTAAAATGTGTAAGTGCGTCATAAACCAACCAACCATAAAAGACTTTAAGCTTAAAAAGGCGAAAAAGCTGATATATATTTGGTGTATAACTTTGTTTAGTGATCTTATAGTGATATAAAGCATGCATGGCCAATTGGCAGAAAGTCCTTAAGAACTTTTCCTCTTCTCTTCTATTTGACCATGTGTGTGATAAAAAAAATAATGGCAAAAAAACACCTGACCCTTTATTACTTTAAAATGATGTTTCACTGACATTTAAGGCATTTATAAAAGAATTAGGTCCTTCATAAAAGAACTGGTTTAATTGTCATTTATATTTACTATAAAAGTAACTTATAATAAAGCTGATGTGATGACATTATATTCTGAAAGGTGTTTATATTTCATGAAGTTAAAATCTCGTCATTGCATCATAGGGCAGGTTTGTCAGTAATATATATACCGGTATGTCTAATTAATTTTTCCATTTCGATGCAGATACAGTTACAGATAAGTCTGCTTCTTTATATGTACATGTGCAGAAAAGTGTTGTGGTGAAGGTACAGTTAACCTCGGTGTTATCCATCTATTACCTGAGGTAACATTAGCAATCTCGCAACTCAGGAGTTCAGTCTTAGGAACATAGGTGTTAGATTTCCATTACGTTGCAATCAGCAAAAGAGTTTTTCATTTCTCATGTGTCAATAAAACAATTGAAAATGATAGACTAGCAAACCTTTAAAGTATAAATAAATTTTCCCCTCTTTCAGCGAACTCTTCAGTGGACAAATGTTGCATGGTTTACAAACCTTTAGCGTAGCTTTATGCCCACACCTACAGATTGGTACTTTTCTCATATTTGGGAGTCCTGGTCTCTTGGTAAAAGCCATGGGTAATAAAGGCTCTATGAACCAACTACATTATATTTTAAAAGGATGAAGTTCTGTTGCTAGCTAATTAAATGTCAATTAGATCAAGGTCAAAAACAAATTTTTAGTGATAGCAGTCAACTGACTATGCCAGTAAATTGCAATTTTGCAAGCTTTCATTTCCCAGCACTTTTGCAAGCTATTCTGTCCTTGCACTTTTGCAAGCTATCATTTCCCTCCTCTCTGCAAGTTAATAACTTTCCACCCTCCCTGCAAGCTGACATTTTTCTCCACTTAAGCAGGCAATCATTTCACTCCAGTTTGTAAGCTACTATTTCAATCCACTTTGCCAGCTTTCATTTCACTCCATTCCACTTTGCAAGCTATTGTTTCACTCCACTTTCAAGCTTTCATTTCACTCTGCTTTGCAAGTTTAGTTCAGTTATTCAGTTATCATTTGACTCCACTCTGCAAGCATTTATTATTTCCATCCACTCTGCTAGCAATTATTTCCCTCCACTTTGCAAGCAAGTATTTCCCTCCACTTTGCAAGCAGTTATTGCTATCAAATTTGCAAGATTTCATTTACCTGCACTAGTCAATTTCACTACACTCCACTTTGCAAGCAATAATTTCCCACCACCTTGCAATAAATTATTTCTCTCAACTTTGCAAACCATTATGTCTCTCCATTTTGCAAGCTATCATTTGCCTCCCTTATTCAAGCTACTCTGTAAGCTTTTATTTCTCTACACATTGCAAACCATTTGACTCTTTCCACTTTGCAAACATTTCCCTTCACTTTGCAAACTATCATTTGACTCATTCCAGGCTTTGCAAGCTGGAATTTCTCAACACATTTGGCTCGATCCACTTTGCAAGCTTTCATTTCTCTACACATTGTAAACTATCATTTGGCTCGATCCACTTTGCAAGCTATCATTTCTCTATACATTGCAAACAATCATTTGACTGGATCCAGGCTTTGCAAGCGATCATTTCTCCACACATTGCATAATTACTATCATTTGACTCGATCCAGGCTTTGCAAACTGTAATTACTCTACACAGTTGACTTGATCCACATTGAAAGCTATCATTTCTATTTATAATTATGTCAAACTTTTCACTTTGCATGCTATCATTTCTATATATATCTAGCAAGCAATTATTTGACTCTATCCACTTTGTAAGCTATCATATCTCTATACCTAGCAAACAATCATTTGACTCGATCCACTTTACAAGCTATCAATGAATGAAATAATAAAATCTTAAGAAATTTCCTGTAAAACCTTCTCTCCAGAGCATTCTCTTTTGAGCAAATTACCTTTGGAATTTATTGGTCATTAGTGTCTTCCATGTGAATTAAAGCCTTCCTGTGAAAGCATAAATTTCTAGATTTCAGCGTAAATAGCATGCAAAGCCTCCAAAGAAATGTAACAATAAATGCCGTATTCCAATGTTTGGCAAGCTGCCAAAGATTCCTCTGTTTTAGAATTGAAAAAAATAAATGTCATGTCGATTTCATTGTAAATTAAAATGTATTGAAACGTGATGTAAAATTAGAGCAATCGATGCCAAGAAAAGTGGTATAATTATGTAAGTAAATGCGCTTTCTTTTCTTGCAATTATCAATAATTGCATAGAGTTACAATTGCTCAGGAAGTCTGTTATAGATTACCAATTTAACTCTAACCACGCTAAATATCTGAAATGGACTCATCCATCTTTCAGTATGGACTTAACCATTCATCATTTTAGAGAATATTTCAAAATATGTCTTAACTGAATAGCGAACACGGATGTGATGTCTAGATTAGTCGCATGGGTAAAAATCAGTTGCCATCTGAGTTAGGCTAAGGGTTAACAACTTATTTTAATCTTTTCTACTAATTTGGAATAATAAAACATTTACAGTTTTGAATGCAACCTACATTTTAAGAATTATCTCCCCTTCTTTAAGTTAGATTTCTTCAATATTTTAGTATTTTCTTTATAACTTAATTTTAAGGTTTTTCTTCAACATTCAAACCTCATTTGACGTCAGAATTATAATAAAATCTTTGTTAACTATGTCTTCTCAACTTCCATAAGAAGTTGCTGTCCATTGCTATCTATATCATATAAAGCATTAGGTCATTACTCTGGCAACTATAATTCAAGTTATCTTGAGTTATCTCCCTTTTAAACATAGATTTTCATGTAAAAATTGTTAAAAATTATTGTAATATATATTTTTCATTACTTTCGGGATTTTCTTGAAACTTTAGATAGAATGATGTTCTGTGTAACTATTCCATGTAAAAATGTAGATAACTTCGGCACAGATGTTTCAAAATTCTTCGTAATGTTTTATTATTGATTTCAATTATATGCATGTTTTAATTGTAATATGCGGTATTTTGTGCATACTTGTATGTGTATTTTCCCCTTACATTGTAATGTATATACATTTTGAGGAAAATTTTCTTGTCTTGGTCAAACCTTTTACTATCATGTACATTTATTAACCCTAATCATGCTGAATTTTTGTTATGGATTTTCCCTGCTTTGACTTTGCAATAGTCAAAATATTATGGATTTCCATATCAAAATATTAAAGGGACTCCACTGAGGTTTTTTTTTTAGATGACCAGACCAGGTTAACAAACTATTTGATGTAGGTCTAGACCAAAAGCTTGTATATATCAGATCATTTGCTCACTCCGTTTTCCCCAAATATTTTATTCTAGTTGTGAAAAATGACCCAAAATTAAAAATGTTGTGATGCTTTTCACTCAAACAGGCTTAGATTAGCACAAATATACAATTTTAAATTCATTTCTGATTATATTTCTTAATTATCTTTTGCATATATTGCTGTTTTAAGTGTCCCAGCTGATCTTTGTAAGAAATTCAAATTTTAACCTTAGTGGAGTCCCTTTAAAACCAAGCAACCAGTCAGGTTATATAGCAGAACAGTCAGCCTGGCTCAGTAACATACTGGTTGCAGAGGCTATATCTGTTTCTGTTCCAGCCGGCAAAGGGTTGAAAAAGTCACATGTGCAGTGTCATGTGACAGTGTTGTTATAATGATTGTTGTTATTTGCATGTCTGAGAGTACAGTAATTATCTAAGTGAATTCAGGAGTGGATTTTTACTTTATGATTCACAGATTGATCTTTCTATTTTCAGCCATATTTAGAAGAAATAAAGAATTCATTACGAGGCCGAATATTTGAGAAAAGTTTACAGAGGTAAGATGCTGCAGTGAGCGTTGTTTTAGTGTGGTTGAGATAGGGGATAGAAAATCTCAGAATCTGTGCAAATCTAGGAAGGGAAAAAGAAAGTCCTGCCAAATAAGAACTAGATATGATTATCTATATAGCATCATCTTATGGCCTTTATGTCAAGATTGTTCATATAATGTTCCAAATTGCTGTAAAAGTAGGAAATGGGAGGGAGTTCTCTTTCACATACTCCACTTTCTGCGTTTAATTCCTGGTTAAATTCCGGGGTCAAGATTGTCCGTGCACCAAGGGATATAATTTGCACAGACCACCAGACAATGCTATTACCGGTATGTCAATTATCATAACTAAGGGTCAAGGAGATTGTCAATAATAGTTTAAGATTTATTTTTTACTGGACAATCTTGACCAGGAATTAAACGCAGACAAACTTTTCAAAGGAGTACATTTTTACACTTGTGTGTTAAAGTAAAGTCTTTGAAAATTCTCTTACCTAAATAGAAATAACTTTAATATATAATTATGGCTTTGACATTTGACATGTTAGATGATTCCTTCCTATTTGATTTTTCAAATTCCCAATATTTGGGCAAAAAGAAAAATATTGAATAAAGGTTATGTTCCTATTCTTAGTGTAATACCAATGAGTTGTAAGTTTAAATTCAATCAATTTATATGCATATGTGTTCCTGCCTTGTTTGCTGAAAGAAGGGAGATATTGATATGTTGTCCATGGGTCTGTCTAGATCTGTCCCTCTGTCAAGATCCATATCTTGGAATCTGTATGTCCAGTTTTCTTCAAACTTGACAGGAACGTATTTATAAATAGGGAGATAAGTCTCATGAAATGTCATTTAAATCTTCCCATGGGTATTTGAGATAAGTCCAAATATAAGGAAAATTTCCATTTTTGAGCCATACTTGTATTTAACAATTTGTCGGTTAGATTGTAACAAAACTTAGCAACTGCTTTCGTGGAATATTATTTGCCCTCCCTTATTGATTTTTACTTTAATATGTTATGCACATTAAAAAAATAAAACACTATTTTTATGGAGAAAAAATACGGCATTGATTCTGCGATTTTCTCCTAATGAACTCACAAGCTTCCAAAACTCTCCCAGACAATTTTCTCGGAGACTTACATCAACTTGCTTGTCATGCTATGCAAGAGAAGAAATTCGCCGATGAGGCGTTCAATTTTTATTCATTTACATGGCAGGTAGTTAATATTCTTGCATTGTCATTGTCTGAGATAATAATGATTAATCAAGGTGATTTAGAGGCTTGATGATAGGGTTTTATTTATACATGATCTACAAGTAAAGCTCTTGCACGATATTGATTTACAATCAAAACACTGACAGGACTGCGCCACTGAAGGTTTCAGCAATTTGTTATTTCTCCCAGAAGGAAATCTTAAAGACATTTTGCTAACTCAATTTATATATATTGATAGATGACAATATGAATTTCTGGGATATATTTTCTTTTAGCTCACCAAAGGTCAAAGTGCACTAAACTGAGCATTTGTCATCACATAAAGGCAACATGAGCATGCTCTAATTTAAAAACAACTCGTTAAGAAAATGTTATTTAAAATTTCTTCTTAGAAACTTGAAGGCCTTAATGAGTTGAGATAACTTGTGTAAAAGTGATGTTAACTAATTTCTACTGGTACTTTACACCAAATTCAGCACAGGTGTTACTTAGTTATATATTTAGACTTACATAGAGAAAAAAACAGTAAAAAACTGAAACCCCATAGTTATAAAAGAAAATATGTGAATAATGATGTATAATATGCTCAGTCGGCCATGATCAAATCTGTTAAAATCAAGCCTAATGAGTCAAATTTTGTTCGGCCCAATGATGTCACTTGGTTTGTTGAAAATGGCTCACATTCAGGTTTCTTACGTTTTTTTAGGAGTACCTGCTCTTTTTGGAATTGTATTCTTGTATTACAAATGTAAGGGATTAAGGCCCTTATTTTACAGAATTGAAGCCATCATAATTTATCATGACAAAAATAAATGTTGGTTAAGTCGACATGGGATGTAAATAATCTATCTACAGTTGTGCCCCAAAATGTGTACTGTTTATAGCCCTGGAGTATCGAGGAAAAGATTGAAAATTCAGAAGTAAGGTACTTGAAAATTGTATAATTGGCATAAAATGCTTTTGGATTTGACGTTTCCTTCGGATAGACACGATGGTTGTGACAAGGCAATTTTCACACAGTTGATTGAATTGGATTCAATCAAATTTAAGGAATCAGTGACAGTTGAACTTAAGTTGCTTGCATCGATATAGCTCCATATAGGCGAACAAAGATTCAAAATATCACATTTTTAGGAAAATATACCAAGAAATATATAAATATTTACAATCCATTTAATGATTTGTTGGTTGTATGCAAGATTAAGACTAAATGTATTGTTTTATCACCATATTTATATCTCATTACTAATGGATTAAGCTCAAGTTACTTTGTTTGTTCACTTAACAACATTTTCTCTAATTAAAATGCTTTTCTTGTTACAAGAGAATATAAGTTTGAATTTATGAATATTTGTATCAAAGTTAACGAGAGCTATTGTCTTGACCTACTCTGTGGTGTTTGATTGGTTAGTTTTTGTTTATGATCATTGGGAGGAGTAATAACATAAAAATACAACCGTCCATTTAAGCAAAGTGCATTGACCTAGGCTCTTTAAAATTTGTATGTAGATGCACCTTGATGAATTCTACTGACCACATCCATTTTCAATTCAAAAGGTCAAACATCAAGGTCACAGGGACATGTAAAAATAAAACATTAAACTGGCCATATTATCTCAAGGGTTTGACCAAGGAACTTAAAAGATATCAAGTACCTGGTATATGAACCTTGATGCTCTACCTGCCAAACCCATTTTCCAAATGAAAGGTCAAGGTCACTTAGACCTGTTATAGCAAAACCTAAAACTGGCCATTAAATTTAAAGTGCACTTACTTGGTAAAGTCTAAAATTACTGTATGTAATTGCACCATAATGAATTCTACATACCCTACTCATTTCAGGTCAAAAGGTCAAGGTCACTGACCTGTTATAACAAAACATTAACCTGGCCATTAAAGCCTAGTGCATTGACCTAGAAAATTTGTATGTATATGTTCCTTGATGAGTTCTACCTACCATACTCATGCTAGGTCAAAAGGTCAAGGTCAGATGATCTTTGTTAACTTTTTGGATAAGCTTTTTGTTACATGGTCAATAATCTCAATTATTAACTTAAAATTTGTTATGAGGATGTATTTTGATAGTTATATATACTGCCTGCCATACCCTTATTTGGAATCCAAAGGTCAAGGTCTATGGCCTTTACTTAAAATTATCTCTTTATTTATGAGACATGTAGTTTACTATCTATCACAGAGAAAAGTGGAGCGAGACACTCCCTTGATAGCTCTTGTTCTTTTGGTTAGCTATACTAATTTAAAGCCATGACACTCATTTCTGTTTCAACCTATCTGTACTGAGAATCTAACACAGATAAATTTATGATGATTAGTGGTTTTTTATGGTCTCAGATGGTGTTTAAAAAACACCGTTGTTCAGTTTATTTCCTTGCAAATTGTTCACAATCTTAATTTTATACAGAGAGACGTTCAGATCTTTCGAAAAAGTCTCTTGTGCTCCTTAGGGTATTTAACATTCACTGGCAAGCCAGTTGTAACTGAATTACCAGCCAGGTCCCAGCTATCTAGAATATATAATGGCAAGACATATATTTCCTCTAAGCAATTTGTTGTTCCAAGATAAATCTATCCTGCTCTGTGGACATGGCATTGATTTTCCCATCCATATATATTAATACACTACACAAAGGGAATTATTGTGGACAGGTTTTTTGGAATTCTACTGATAACCAACCTCAAATAAAGTGGTGATTAGTTCAATTAACAGGGGTATTCAAGTAATTTATTGGTGTGTTGATATAATGCACTTGCCATTGTATAATAAATGCATTTGCCATTTTATAATGCACTTCTCATTATATAATGCATTTGCCATTATATAATGCACTTGCCATTATACAATGCATTTGCCATTATATAATGCACTTGCCATTATATAATGCATTTGCCATTATATAATGCACTTATCTTTAAAATGGCATTTAACAAATCTTTTGAAACACATCTTTACGAAAGACATTCAAAAAGTTGCACTGTGCACAATTTACTTTTAGTACTAGAATGAGTTACTCTGAGGTACATTCCTAAAGTGGTAAGCCATTATGGCTTATCAGGCCTGTCATGTCACTTTCATGTGTTCTAATGTGAAAAATCAAGTTGGTGTTTAAGTATAAGAACAATGCAAAGCTTTCCAGACAAGTGTAAATAGAAAGACATTATCTTGCTTACAGTTATTGGTCGACCTGTCAACCAGTTAGCTGTAATTAAATAATTACCTAGTCTGGATCAGCAAGATGGACTGACGGGGGAAATAATTTGGTGCTCTGTTCGCCAAATTATATTTTTAGTGCATGAGAGTTTCGACTTGCTGTCAAGTACACTCGTATATGATGGTAAAAAATGCTTTGAAGCAAATCCATTATATTGAAAAAGAAACTATTCTTAGGTATTGCTGCACCATAATTAAGCTTTCAATCATGGGTGAGCAGATATCATCAGCCAGTTAGGCTTAGGGTCTGCTAAAAATAGAACTACCCAAAAACAACCTCATAATGAAAAATATGTGAATGTCATAAAAATGTCAGAAGCTTTCCTAGATAGTACTATTCTCTGAATTTTGCAAAAGTTTAGGGGCCACCAAAGCTTAAAAATACATTATATGCACCATTGCACCACAAATTATCTCGCTTGAACCTTACTTATGATACAATCCTGGGGACCTTTAAGAGACTTCAAGAGGTAAAACTAGAAGAAAAATCTAGCTTAAAACACCTCCTCTAAGTATGAACCAATTTAATTTTATTTTAGAAAGCCTATGATGTATAATAGTCATCTTGACCATCAAAATTGAATGAAAATCTGGAATATGGGTAATGGCCCTTTGAAGCAATGAAAATAATGAACTTGACCTCTAAGGTGTCATCCAAATTGGCCCCATGACAAAAGTTTTATCTGTACAGAAAATACGGCAATAACTTGCATCACATACAAAATATTGGAAACTGAGTTTTTTTGTCATATAATTATGTTTGTCTGTTTTTTGAAGGAGACAAATTGAAGTATGACCTTGACCTGTAAGGTCAAATTTAAAAAAATGCATAATTATAGCTTTATGAGTAGTGTTACCTCATGAATGGATACATTATTTACTTTTGGATAAATTTTTTGTTTCTTTTTTTTGAAATGTGACCTTGCCCCTAACTGACCTTGACTTTTTAAGGTCAAATGTCCATAATGATTAAAATTGACCTAAATTTATATAGAAATATTGAACTATTGGCACTGATAAAGTATTAATGATAATTACAAACATGTCCTGTTTCACTTATGTTGAAGTTCTTATGATTTCTGTTCTATTTTCAGTGACAAGTACACAAGATTTTGTCAATGGAAAAATTTAGAATTGAATATTCAGGTAAGTAATAATTAACCAAGATTTTAAATCTTCTCATATGATTTAAATGGTTCCAGTCATTGATTGTAAGACCAAGATCTGTAGCTTAAAAGGTCGCAAGAGGTCAAATGAGATTTATAGGTCTTGTGGTTGTCAGTCCGTATTGAACTTTGAAATAAGTTTGCAGAAAATTAATGTAAGCAATCATTAGAAAGTTAATGCACGCAAGACAAAGTCCGTTATCTCCTAAGTCAAGGCCACACATTTTAATTCTTTGATGAGTTTTATATTACTTTGCAGGAATATTATCCATTCTTCTTATTTAAAGGGCAAGATAATATTTCTAGGTAAAAATTTTTGTCTGTTTAGCTCTTTTGATCTCTAAGGTTTTGTTTATCCATGAGTTGGTGTCCAATTGTCTGATAGCGTATAATTTGTAACCTTAGTGCAATAATGGGTTAAAACATTTTAAATTTACTAGGAGTTAACAAGTAATTGCACTAAGGTTACTATATAGGTCATCATTATCCAATCTTTAAAAAAAAACAGCATCTCCATAGATTTTAACCAAGCTTGATAAGAATGGTTCTTAAATGGTCCTGTACAAATGTTATATAAATGATTGTGGACTGATAAACTTATCATTCAATGAAGCTTGAAATAGATATCTGAAATAAAAGTTAAAGAAAAAATCTTACTGACAAAAGTCACTATCCAGGGCTTAGATATTAAGTATCTTTGTATGTAGCATTGCAAAAATATCTGTAAAAAAGTGATCCTTCAGAAGCATTAAAAACAGCAAAATGCAAAATTACATGAAAATTGCAGACTCGGTTTGATTATGTACATGAGGGATAATGAAAACGTGCAACGTCAAAGTCCATCACTTTACCATTGTTCTATTTGTATGTTACAGTTGACAATGAATGACTTCAGTGTTCATAGAATTATTGGTAGAGGAGGTTTTGGTGAGGTGTATGGCTGCAGGAAGGCAGACACTGGTAAAATGTAAGTATGGGATCAAAAGAGAGGTACTAAACCCTGTATCAACAAGTTTCGTCATCAATGCCGTAACAAAAGTTTGTAAAGCTATTTTTGGGTTGTCTAAAATTGGCCAAATGTATGTTTGTATTGTAATGATAATTATAGGAAAATAATTATGCAAATATTTATGAAAAAATGAGATTTTCACAATTTTATGAAAATAAGTTTGATGTAGACTTGGACCACAAAATTGTGTGCAAAATTTCAGACAATTCCCTCTCTCCGTTTTTTTTCCAGAATACATTTTTTATTGTGCGAAATGACCTAAAAATGTCAAATGCTGTTCTAAAAATGTCAAACATTTTTATCTCAAATTTGGCTAAGAATTGAATAAAATATTAGAGCATTTTAGATGTTTTACAATTGAAGAAAGTAAGGCTGAAGGTCCAGTTATGTTTTGCAAATGTAGCAAAATGTTAACAAAGTAATATTTTGATCTCCATACAAAATTCTAATTCACTTATCATCATATCAATCGCCAAGAGAACAAAATTAGAGAAAAAAAGATTCATGCATATGGCAAACCAGAACTTTTTTGGAAACTATAATAAGATACAAAAAATAAAAAGTTTCTAAGAAATAAAACTGATAGCTTTTTTTAAATTATTGGGCCTTTTAAGGGACGACCCTGAGTTTAATTTTGACTTGATAAACTGGGAATTTCTTGCGATTTGAGTGAACATTTGATGTAGGCCGGGACCACAAAATAGTGTGCAAAATTTCAGACAATTCCCTAAGTTTGTTTTATTTCCTGAATACTTTTTTTTATTGTGCAAAATGACCTAAAAATGTCAAACGCTGTTCTAAAAATGTCAAATGCTTTTTACTTGTATTTGGCTAAGAATTGAATAAAATATTAATTTTCAATTTAATTTTGTATTTATTTCTTTGTTGAGGCTCACAGGGAAGACTGGGCTTGCCCAACCGTGTTGCCTCATTAAATAAAGTTGTTACTTGCTTGTGTATCTTTGAATATTTTTCCATTTTAACTGTCTCGTTGATTTTGGTAACAATAAAAAAGTAATGTTTTTAGGCTTTTGAACATGAGTAGTTTCTTTAAAGTCAATAATGCAAGGGTCAAGGTCTTCAAATTAATTGTTGTGGTGTGTGTCATAGATCGGCAACATTTTTAAGCTTCGCCATTTATTTAACCCCTTACCATGCAAAATATGTTAAATGGACTTGTCCATCTTTTAGTCTGGACAAAACCATTCTTCATTTTGAGGGAAATTATTGATATAAATAGCGACTGAATACCAGTGCCACTGTGTCGGCAATATTCTTGCTTTGATTGTAATTTATTATATGCAATTTGTATCTGCAATATCATGCAGCAGTGTTAAAAATAAACTAATAATCAAAGTTAAGCAATATTTTTATTATCTCCCTTTTCATATTCTGTGGTCTTTTCTATTTTTAGGTATGCTATGAAATGTTTAGACAAAAAACGAATAAAGATGAAAGGTGGTGAAACTCTAGCGTTAAATGAACGAATAATGTTGTCTCTAGTCAGTACAGGGGTGAGTATTTTATTACATTAGTACACACAGGGTTTTGTGAATTTATTACATTTCACACAGGGTTTTGTAAATTAATTACAGTACACAATGGGTTTTGTATAAATAAGCTGGACTACTTGAAGAATAACGAGAGCTATTAAAGTCACACAGGTGTCTGCGTCACATTTTGGTTAAGTTTTTGCCTGCATGATGGTATCTCCAAAATTTCATAAGGCGATGGGTTGAAACTTCACACACTTAATGAAGGGCATAATAGGAAGTCACTGTCCAAGGCCCATAAATCTAACTTGGAATTTGACTGAATTATGGTCCTTTTTGAAGTTAAAAAATTCTACATTATCAAGACTCTTGTTTTACTATCAAGCACTGAAATCAGTCAAGGACTTTGTCCTATATGACAGCTCTTGTTTGTCTTTTAGTGGTATGACTAGATCCCTGTACAGCATTCAAATGTTCTGTATTGATTTAAGGTATCTGAGAAAATTTATATCCATAAAATTTATTCCTGGATAACTAATTTTGTGTGGTATGCGACGTGGCATATGTGGCATCATGAGTTATTTTAAGTAGCAAAGTTTGCTTTAATTTTTGAAATAGAGGAGAAAACTGCATTAAATTTATGGATTTTTCATCAGTTTTAATGGAGCATACAAATATAGAATGTTTTTTTTTGTTTGACACTTTGTATCTAACATTTGGACAAATTGTCAAGATTAACTATATGTGGATTTTGCGATATCAAAACAATGTTGAACTTTTTGTTTAAAATTTCTCTGAAATGTCAGTAAATACCTGACACAAGAAACATAAGGGGATATGAGTAGAGAACAGTTTTATGTATATCTCGCAAAAATTGATGAAAAAAATCAATTAACTATTTAAAGGTTGAAATATTATGATAATTGTTTGCCAATTTTGAGTAAAATACTGTTTCCCATTTTTACAGGCCTAATGGGTCATGATTCCAAAATATTAAAATACACACACAAAAAAAAACACTGACCCCCACCCTTCCACCCTCTTTAAAAAAATGCCTGACAAAAAACGTCTCAGTTACAGGAATAGCTACTATACCTAGTAACAGACTGGTTTTCCAGTTGAGGGATCCATGGGGCTCGTTTACATTGATTGTAAAGGTACTGGGTTTGTGGCAGCACTTAGATATTAATACATTCATGTAATGTTACAAGCTTAATTGGTTCAATTATGACAGTACTACCGTTCCATTATTTCGCTATAACGACATGGATGTTATGACATCACTGTATCATGACAATTAATAGCGTTTTAATTAATCAATGCAAAATTGATTTCATAATGATCGTCAAATGAGATTTGATATTCCAAAATATTTTCTCGAAATTAGCTACGAATATAAATTTCCTGTCAACTCTCTGATTATACATGATGGATGATTAATGAAATGTATAACCAAAAGTACAGAAAATTATAACTATTTTTGTCAGGCAATTTAATCACCCATGAGAAGTTACATGATATTATAACATCGCACTCACAGAGGAATTGACACAAGTTTATTAATTCAGTACAATGGTCGTACATGTATATTATATTAATTAGACATTACAGCAAATATGTTGGAACTATGCCAAGGGAAGTACTTGACATGGTTTGAAAAAGTTGTTAATTTTTTATTTTTTTTTTTGTTATTTGCGTCTGCTTCCAATGCTTATTTCCTATTTTTAGATCTGATGAAATTAGTGAGACAGATCTATATTTTCCATTTAAAATTAAAAACCCACTGTAATTATATACATGGTGTGATTGTGTAGGAAACAATATCCAGTGTATTTAAAGCTAAAGGAAACAAAAGCAACAAAAAGAAGGGAAAAACAGAAAAGGACAAAAAGATGAAAAAATTGTATGCATAACCTTCTTAGGGTCGAATTTTAGTGATTGTTTGAACATGATCTTTGTGGCAATATCAATCTTTAAATGGTCTTCTCTCTGAACATATAAGTACAAACAGTGCATGCTTGTCATTCTGCAGCCGTTTTCAAAAACATCTTGCAACATCTCTTGTTGCGATACTGAAATTTAATATTAATTTATCTTCATATTTTATTACAATTCTGAAACTCTGCTTTTTCCATTATTCTTGCCTAATGTACCATTCTTTCTGCTCATTTCTTGCATTGTTCCTTAATCTTTTGTCACATTTGTCATCTTTTGGGTAATTTTATAATGTAAACATGGTTTGCAACTTAGGTGGTTAAATCATGACACCTGACACCCTTTTATTGACTTATAGTAGCATACAAAATCACAGCTTGTGTTAGACAAAAAAAAGGAAATAAGCATGTACAACATATGTTCAAATATAAATATACGATTATGTTATTCTGTGTCCCGTGTTCTCATTTTTCTTACGTTCTATGAATGGTTCAATTAATGATTGTGCCATGTGCTATCATTGTGTTGATTTGTGTATATAAATTATTAGGTTATACTTTGCTCACTAGTGAGGTCATAGTGCCCATTTCAGCTGTGTGTGCTCAATGCTCGGGTGAGCCATTGCAGTGGATGACTGTCTTTTGTAAATTCAGATGACACAATGTTATAAAGCAATTATGCACTGTATTACAGAAAATACAGCAATTATGTCTTGTGACACTGTTCTATGGTAAATACAGCAATTATGTACTGTATTATGGAAAATACAGCAATTATGTACTGTATTACGGTAAATACAGCAATTATGTACTGTATTACGGTAAATACAGCAATTATGTACTGTATTATGGAAAATACAGCAATTATGTACTGTATTATGGTAAATACAGCAATTATGTACTGTATTATGGTAAATACAGCAATTATGTACTGTATTATGGTAAATACAGCAATTATGTACTGTATTACGGTAAATACAGCAATTATGTACTGTATTATGGAAAATACAGCAATTATGTACTGTATTATGGTAAATACAGCAATTATGTACTGTATTATTGGTAAATACAGCAATTATGTACTGTATTAAGGATAGAAAATACAGCAATTATGTACTGTATTATGGAAAATACAGCAATTATGTAAACTGTATTACGGTAAATACAGCAATTATGTACTGTATTATGGTAAATACAGCAATTATGTACTGTATTATGGTAAATACAGCAATTCATGTACTGTATTATGGAAAATACAGCAATGTTTATGTAATACTACTGTACTGTATTATGGTAAATACAGCAATTATGTACTGTATTATGGAAAATAGTAACAGCAATCGCATTATGTACTGTATTATGGTATAAACTACAGCAATTATGTACTGTATTATGGTAAATACAGCAATTATGTACTGTATTACGGTAAATACAGCAATTATGTATCTGTATTATGGAAAATATACAGCAATTATGTACTGTATTATGGTTAAATACAGCAATTATGTACTGTATTATGGTAAATACAGCATTATGTACTGTATTAAGGTAAATACAGCATTATTGTACTGTATTATGGAAAATATGTACTGTATTATGGAAAATAACAGCAATTATGTACTTTGTATTACGGTAAATACAGCAATTATGTACTGTATTATGGTAAATACCAGCAATTACTGTATTACTGTAAATACAGCAATTATGCACTGTATTATGGTAAATACAGCAATTATGTACTGTATTACGGTTAAATACAGGCAATTATGTACTGTATTATTGGAAAATACAGCAATTATGTACTGTATTATGGAAAAATACAGGGCAATTATGTACTGTAAATACAGCAATTAAATGGTAAATACAGCAATTATGCACTGTATTACGGGAAAATACAGCAATTATGTACTGTATTATGGTAAAAATACAGCAATTATGTACTGTATTATGGAAAAATACAGCAATTATGTACTGTATTATGGAAAATACAGCAATTATGTACTGTATTATGGTAAATACAGCAATTATGTACTGTATTATGGTAAATACAGGCAATTATGTACTGTATTATGGTAAATACAGCAATTATGTACTGTATTATGGAAAATACAGCAATTATGTACTGTATTTATGGTAAAAATACAGCAATTATGTACTGTATTATGGAAAATACAGCAATTATGTACTGTATTATGGTAAATACAGCAATTATGTATCTTTTTGGCAATTACTGTTTTTACTGTATTGATGGAAAATACAGCAATTATGTACTGTATTATGGAAAATACAGCAATTATGTACTGTATTATGGTAAATACAGCAATTATGTACTGTATTATGGAAAATACAGCAATTATGTCTTGTGACACTGTTTTATGGTAAATACAGCAACACAGTATTAAATAGAAAAAAATAACAGTTACATCTTATAACACTGAATTAAAGAGAGAAAAAGCAGCAATTATATCTTATGACACTGTATTATAGAGAAAAACAACAAATATGGCTTATGACACTTTATTAAAAGAAAACAACAATTATGTCTTATGACGCTGTATTAAAGAGAAAAACAGCAATTATGTCTTATGACACAGTATTAAAGAGAAAACACAGCAGTTATGTCTTATAACACTGTATTAAAGATAAAAAACAACAATTATGTCTTAATTGACACTGTATTAAAGAGAAAAACAACAATTATGTCTTATGGCACTATATTAAAGAGAAAAACAGCAATTATGTCTTGTGATACTGTATTAAAGAGAAAAACAGCAACTACATCTTATGACACTGTTTTTACGGATATTTTGCACCAATTATGTCCTAGAACTCCTTTTGCTGGGAATTTCATTAATTATGTACTAGGACACTTGGGAATGCAGCAATTATTTCTAAGGACAGTGTATTCTGGGTAAAAGGGCAAATTGTGTCCTTGTACACCATTTATGGGGAAATGCAGAAATTATGTCTTATACCTAACACTGGGGAATTGGGCAATTATTTTCAAGGACAATGAATTCTGAGTAATGCAGCAATTATATCTTAGGACAGTGTATTCTAGGAAAATGAGGAAATTGAAGCAATCAT